GATCTCATAAGCTAAATGTAAAATGTAAACTGTTAGTACAAAACAAAAGAATTCCAGGTGAATTAAGCACACATTATAACAGCAGAAGAAACTTTCATTGAGCAAATTTCTTCAGTGCTACAATTCCCTATAATCTGTCAGAGTAGCTTTAATATTCCATCTAAAAAAACTTAAGATGATTAATAATGTAGCTACATGTACTGACAAATCCTATAAACCAGGTCACTTCAGTATCTACCAGTTTCTGATGTCCTTAGACCATTTAATTGCCAAATTTAAAAACTGTATGCCAAATTTTGGTTTCTAGAAATTTTGGTTTTTGGAAGGATTTTTTAACTATAAACATATATATCTGGGGCAGAGCCTTTTAATCAAGGCACCACAGATGAATGAGAATTTCTTGTATCTCTGGGAATTTGTCTTGAGAGAGAACTACTTCTCAAAAATCATATTTTGGGATGGACACAGTGGCTCATCTCTGTAATCCCAGCACTTTGGGAGGCTGAGGTGGATGGATCACTTGAGGTCCGACTTTGAGACATGCCTGGCCAACATCTTTACTAAAAATACAAAAATTAGCTGGGCATGGTGACAAGCACCTGTAGTCCCAGCTACTCAAGAGGCTGAGGCAGGAGAATCATTTGAACTTGGGAGGTGGTGGTTGCAGTGAGCCAAGATCACGCCACTGCACTCCAACCTGGGCAACAGAGTGAGACTCCATCTCAAAAATAAATACATAAATAAAAAATAAAAAATCATATTTTGAAAGCAACTTAGCACCTCCTAAAATGTTAAGAACCACTGGTTTCAGGGAATTTAAATAAAACCTCAAATCATACCAGTTAAAAATGGAAAGCATATTGTCTACTTGGCTCAATTTCCACTGTTACTTTCCATGAGCATATAAATATATCCTAATGAAAACACTTTCTTTAATTTTAAAAATTCAAAGACCAAGGGGTCTCTTTCAGACCATTCAACTACATCTGATTAAAAAACCAGCTAATGAGAATTTTTCATTATCAGCTTATCAACTTATCAGCTAATGAGAATTTGTAAAACCTTTGCATATCAAATACAGCATTATTAATTTTATACCAACTATGGAACAAAATTTCATATAAACTTGTGTACAGTTCTATTAAAAAATAATTTACCACTTTGGATTTTCTAGTTCTGTAAGCTCTAATGTGCTGACAGATCTTAAAATTGTTATCAGTTTTCACTAATCCTAGGACTCCTCTCCATCTTATTTGGATGTACAGGTGCTACACAGAATGAATAAATTAATAAATAATGAGGCAGAAGACTGCATAAAGTATCCCAAATGATATAAAATATAATTTTCTGTCTCTCATCTTTTTTTTTTTTTTGAGACGGAGTTTCTTTCTTGTTGTCCAGGCTGGAGTGCAATGGCGCTATCTCGGCTCACCACAACCTCCGCCTCCTGGGTTCAAGCGATTCTCCTGCCTCAGCCTCCTGAGTAGCTGGGATTACAGGCATGTGCCACCATGCCCGGCTAATTTCGTATTTTTAGTAGAGACGGGTTTCTCCATGTTAGGCTGGTCTCGAACTCCTGACCTAAGGTGATCCGCCCAGCTCGGCCTCCTAAAGTGCTGAGATTACAGGCATGAGCCACCACGCCCAGCCTCTCTCATCTTTTTATAATAACAGAAAATGTAAAGGTCACTACAAAATATAAGTACTTGCAAAATTTAAAAAAAAATCAGCAAATTAATTGGCATTAATACCTAGAATCCATATATAAATGAAGAAAATTGAACAGAGCCCCAGAGACCTGTGGGACACCAGCAATTATAGCAACATACACATAAATGGGAGTCCCAGAAGATGAGAGAAAAAGGGCAGGAAAAATACTTGAATAATGACCAAAAATAACTCAAAGATTATGAAACATTAGTTTACATAATGAATTCTAATTGTAACTCAATAAACAACAAGTAGAATAAAGTCGGGAAGATCCACACCTAGATACATCATAATCAAACTGACAAAACTTAAAGAGATAACGTTTATAGCAGCAAGAGAAAAATGACTTTTCACATACATAATGAAATCCTCAGTAAGATTAATGGCTAACCTGTCATCAGAAAACCATGGACGTAAGAAGACAAATGGGATGACATGTTGAAAGAAAAAGACTGTTAGCCAAGAATTCTATATCCAGCAAAACTCTCCTTCAAAAATGAAGAGGAAATTAAGACATTCCTAGATAAACACTGAAAGAATTTGTCATTAGCCAACCTGCCCTACAAGAAATACTAAAGAAATTCCTTTAGGTGGGAAGCTGAGGTGGGCAGATCACGAGGTCAGGAGACAGAGACCATCCTGGCTAACATGGTAAAACCCCATCTCTACAAAAAAATACAAAAAATTAGCCAGGTGTGGTGACAGGCACCTGTAGTCCCAGCTACTCAGGAGGCTAAGGCAGGAGAATGGTGTGAACCCAGGAGGTAGAGCTTGCAGTGAGCCTAGATCACACCACTGCACTCCAGCCTGGGCAACAAAGCGAGACTCCATCTCAAAAAAAAAAATTCCTTCAGGCTTTTGAAGAAATAAAAGGACGCCATACAGTGTCTCAAATCCACAAAGAGAAATAAAGAGCACATGTAAAGATAAATACACAAGTAAATATAAAAGACAGTATAAATGTATTTTTATTTATAACTCTTACTTTCCTCCTTTACAAGGCCAACTGCATAAAGCAATTACTGCAAAACTGTGTTGGTGAGCACATGATGTGTAGAGGTATAATTTGTATGACAATATCACAAAAAAGTGGGGAGTGAATAGATGTATACTGCGCCAAAATGTTGTATACTATTGAAATTTGGTTAGTATTAAACCAAACTAGATTGTCTCAGAATGCTAACTGTAATCCCCAGGATAGAGAGAGAGAGAGAGAGAAAGAAAGAGAGAAAGAAAGAGAGAGAGGAAGAGAGAGAGAGAGAGAGAAACAGAGAGAGAGAGAAGGAAGGAAAGGAAAAGGAAAAGGAAAAGGAAAGGAAGTAAAAAAAAAAAGTTAAATATAGTTAAAGAAACAAACGAATGAAAATGGCACCCTAGAAAACACCTATTTAACACAAAAAAAGTAGTGGAAAAGTGGAGGAATAAAAAAGACATAAGTCACAGAAAACAAATGGCAAAATGGCAGTTGTAAAGCCTACCTTACCAGTAATTACATTAAATATAAATGGTCAAACACTCTAATCAAAAAGGCGGAGACTGTAGAAATTATTTTCAAAACATGATCCAACTGCATGCTGTTTACAAGAGACACACTTTAGATTCAAATAGATTAAAAATAAAAGGATGGAAAAGATATATCATACCAAGAGTAACCAAAAGACAGCTGGAGTGGCTACACTAGTATCAGACAAAATTAACACAGAAATTGTGACTAGAGACAAAGGACCTTTTCAGGGCCATCTATAAAGAATATATAACAATTATAAACTTATATACACTTATCAACAGGGTCCTAAAATACATGAAGCAAGAACTTACAGAAATGAAGAGAGAAACAGACAATTCAATAATAGAGACTTCAGTCCCCCTTTAAAATAACAGAACAGACAGAAGATTAACAAGGAAATAGAAAACTTAAACAGCACCATAAACCAACCAGACCTAACAGACTTCTACAGAACACTGTACTTAACGGTAACAGAACACACATTCTTCTTAAGCACACATAAAACATTCTCCAGGACAGACTGTATATTAAGCCACTGTATAAGTCTCAGTAAGTTTAAAAGGATTGAAATCATACAAAACATATTCTCCATTCTGCAATTATAGAGGCAGTAAAAAAGAAAAACTTTAAGAAAAAAAGTATATTCTCTAAACATACTGGAATAAAATTAGAAATTAATAACAAGGAAATCTGGGAAAGTCACAAATAGGTAGAAATTAACACATTCCTAAATAACTAATGGATCAAAAGAAAAATCACTTAGGAAATTAGAAAATATTTTGAGCCAGGTGTGGTGGTGCACACCTGTAATCCCAGCACTTTGGGAACCAAGTGGGTGGGCTGCTTGAGCTCAGGTGTTCGAGACCAGCCTGGGCAACATGGTGAAATCCCATCTCTACTAAAAATACAAAAATTAGTAGGTGTCATGGCACACATCTGTAGTTGCAGCTACTTAGGAGGCTGAGGTGGGAGGATGGCTTGCACCCAGGAGGCAGAGGTTGCAGTGAGCTAAGATCACGCCACTTCACTCCACTCCAGCCTGGGTAACAGAACCAAATGCCGTCTCAAAAAAAAAAAGAAGAAAAAGAAAGGAAAACATAATGTATCAAAATTTATTGGTTCAAGCAAAAACTTATACATAGAACTGTTCATAACAGCTCTATTCACAATAGCCAAATGATGGAAATAATTTAAATGTCCATCAACTGGTAAGTGGATAAACAAATGTGGTATATCCATACAATGGAATAATTCATCCATTTTAAAAAGGAATGAAGTATTGACACAGATGACATTTATGATCCTTGAAAACATTATGCTAACTGAAAGAACCCAGAAACAAAAGCCCACATATTTCATAATTTCATTTATATGCAGATACCAGAATAGGCAAATCCAGAGACAGAAAGCAGATTGGTAGTTATCAGGGGCTGTAAAGAGAGGGGAACGGGGTGTGAGTGCTAAATGCCAATGGGGATTCCATTTGGGGTGATCGAAAAGTTATAGAATTAAAGAGTGGTGATGGGTTGTACAGCATGGCGAATGTACTTTGTGCTACTGAATTGTACACTTTAAAATGGTTTAAATGGTAAATATATATTAAGTGTATTTTATTACAATGAAAAAACATTGAAAAACAGTATTTGCATGAAAGAAAATAATGTTAAGAAAACCATAAAAGTTAAATATTTTACACAGACACTCAGAATCTAAATGAGAAAACCATGATTTCTGCAGAATAGCATAAATATAAAAACTGCCAATATGTAATTATGTTCCATACCTGTATGTGAGGCCAAGAGGCCTCAAGCGTGGGTTCATCCTCTTCTGGATCAAAATCCGGATTATCACTTGGAGGAAGTGTACGGAAGATGTTAGCACTGATCTGTAATGAAAAAATAATTTTATGTTCTTTGTTGTATGTGTAAATGAATTTGACAATTCAAAATGAAATATTTTAAAGATCACTTTAAGAAAAAAGTTATAGCTGTAAGCTTAGTTCAAAATCTATAAACCTCTCCAAGATACAAAGAAGGCAGGTGTTTGTTTCTCTCTTTTCTCTTATCCAATAACTTTGACTTCCTCAGACCTAAGCTCCTGAAGATTAGATAGAGCCTCTGGATTAATCTTCTTTAAATCATAAATTGTTCTTTCCGAATTTTACTCAAAAAGAAAGAGGGGGCCAGGCGAAGTGGTTCACACCTGTAATCTCAGCACTTTGGGAGGCCGAGGGGGCAGATTGTCTGAGGTTAGGAGTTCAAGACCAGCCTGGGCAACATGGTGAAACCCCATCTCTACAAAAACATAAAAATTAGCCAGGCATCATGGTGCATACTTGTGGTCCCAACTACTGGGGAGACTGAGGCAGGAGAATTGCTTGAGCCCAGAAGGTGGAGGTTGCAGTGAGCCAAGATCGTACCACTGCACTCCAACCTGGGTGACAGAGCCAGACCCTGTCTCCAAAAAAAAAAAAAAAAAAAAACAGAAGGGAAAGGGAGAATATAGAGGAAGGGAGTAAAGGGAATTCGAGGGAAAAAGTTATTAATTCTACTTATCTTTAATTTGATTCATTTCATCTTTCTACAATTCCTCCCATATTCCAACCTGGCCATATTCTATACTTGCCTTATAACTCAGAGTTTGGTAAAATATCTCCATTCTTATACATACCACACTAAGGGAGAGGTGGGCGAGGGTAGAATGCCTTCACTATTATTATAAATGTGTTTATAATACTTCTTGATGATTTAATTTACTGTATTTCATCTCATCTACTTTGAGACTTTTAAAAAACATATTAACCACCTTGAAATCAGGATGTTCTTCATTTTAGATCCAGTGAAATACAGTATTTATAATTTCATGCTTTGCATTATCTTAGTACTAAGGTAATATATATCCTTTTTCTCTAGCAAAGGATAGACTGTGATCTCAATCTACAATTTTTTGAAGAATAATGAACAGACTGATAGATCAAGTAGTTTAATAAATATTTAAGGCCCAACTACTAAGGGGCTGATCATTTTGAGATAAACTATTCCAGAGGTAGAGGATAAGACAAGAAATTGCAAGCAAATTCCCAACTATTCTTATGAAGTTGCATCTTTGGTACACAAATTACTGCTAATAGTCAATTACTATAACCATAAGACTTAATAAGAATAACCTAAAATTTCATCAGCCAGAACTCAAAGCCAGTACTTGAGGGCAAAGCGAATAAACAGTTTGATGGACATCAATTTCACAAAGAGTAGCAGCAAGCCATCGATAAAATTTGAAAACAAATATATCTCACAAGAGCACAGAATTTGTCCTTGAGATCACACTTATTATTGTCAGTAGTAAAAGAAAAAGTTAATCTTGTAGCTACTAATAAAATTAACTGTATATAACAAATATTCAGAAGAGCTTCAAGAGTCTAAATGGGTAAGATGACTCAAGTATTACTTAGATATTAAATTAAGTACTCATAAATTTTTAAGAAACCAACAAATATATAGCTACTATGTGCATACAGAAATCAAAATAAATTTAAGAAAGCAACAACAAACACACACCTTTTTACTTGGGCAAAGAAATTAAATCCCATAATTTATTAGTATATAGCAAATTTGACTCAAATATTTGAGACTTTCAATATCTGTCAACAATTTTAGAGATTAATTCCCGACTCTAAAAATTCTTGAATATAAGCCATTTGAAATCAGTAACAGTAGGAAATACTGCTTTTTCTCCCTGAACTTTTTAAATGATTAAAAAACAAAAAAAAACCTTGAAGAAGTCCACCAGTAATTAATATTTATGTTCTCAAACTATCACTTCCTTTTATTGTCTGTGGGAGTTTAAGCCAATTTCATTTTGATTAATGTTCTCTCTATAGCCAATCTTTAAATTTTTTTGAGGCTGGACATGGTGGCCCATGCATGTAAAACCAGCACTCTGGGAGGCCCAGACAGGAGGACTGCTTGAGGTCAGGAGTTTGAGACCAGCCTGGGCAATAGCAAGGCTCCACCTCTAAAAAAAAAGAAAATGAAAAAATTAATCGGGCATGGTGGTGCATGCTTGTAGTTCTACCTACTCAGGAGGCTTAGGCAGGAGGATAGCTTGTGCCCAGGAGGCCAAGGCTGCGGTGAGCTATGATTACGCCACTGCACTCTAGCCTGGGAAAAGAGACAGACTCTTATTTTTTTTTCTTTTTTTTGAGACAGGGTCTCATTCTGTCGCCCAGCCTGGAGTGCAGTGGCACAATCTTGGCTCACTGCAATCTCCACCTCCCAGGTTCTTCAAGCAATTTTCTGGCCTCAGCCTCCCAAGCAGTTGGGATTACAGGCATCCACCACCACACCTGGCTAATTTTTGTATTTTTAGCAGAGACGGGGTTTCACCATGTTGGCCAGACTGTTCTTAAACTCCTGACCTCAGGTGATCCACCCGCCTTGGCCTCCCAAAGTGCTGGGGTTATAGGCGTGAGCCACTGTGCCCAGCCAACTCTGTCTCAAAAAAAAAAAAAAAAAAACAGATTTCCTGG